GCTTCGGTGTAATGTGGTCCTGCAGTGCCATGTGCAGTGCGGCGGGTACGTCGGGCATGACCCTTATCGCACACATGCTCGCGCCGTTTCCGTTCCCCCTGGGACGCGAGAGGGGACGCCCCGCGCCCCGGCCGCGCCCGCGATGTCGACGGTAACCCGAGTGGTCGGCCGTCTCGTCCATCGTCCGGCTGCCCGAGCCACGCGGTGCTGCGACCGGAGTCCGCAAGTGCTGCTGAGTTAGCAGGAGCGCGGGGCCACGCGGAGCTTGCCGTGGAGTTCGGCCGCCAGGAGGATGCTGGGGAGGGTGCGCGGGAAACGTACGCGTGGAGCGCGGAGTGATACCACGATGTGACAGCATTCATGACGGCGTGTTTTCTGTTCTGGGTGCTCGCAGGTCGCCGCCACCACCACGACGTACCTCGTCGTGCTGGTCCAGTTCCAGGGGCCCAACGCGGAAGACTAGGCTGGGTCCTCCCGGTCGCCCGCTCGCGGGTCTGCGGCGCGACGTCGGGGTCGGTCGGGATGCCGTCGCATGTCCGCGGGACGTTAGGCGGCGCCCCCGCGACCCCCTATCGGCCTCCGGCCCGGCCTTCCCTAAATGGCCTCTCCCGCCCCAATTCAATAGAACGATGCGGCAAAGTGAAAAGAGAGAAGAGCGCCGACAAAAGGCGAGTATGAGTCGCATGAGTACACTCTGAATATCAAGGACAATTTTTAGACAGTCCCCTAAGGACTGCCTCTACCGGAGGGAAAAGTCCCCTCTCCCTCCTCATGTAGCACAGAGCGGGCCCTCGAGTTTATGGGCGGCTGGCGTGATTTTGCAACTAGCGCCGGACTTCTGTGTGCATAACTGAGTTCTGATACATTGTAACTTGCTAGTCACTAAATGTGAGTTGGTAATTACAATATTGTATCTGAGCTAGTTATGCACACAGCAGTTGGGTGCTAGTTACAAAACCAGCTGGGCTGGGGCTGGGCTGTTTTTCAAGTGGATTAGGCTGGCTTCTATAGCGAACGTAAAAGTCAGTCTCAAACGACTGGCTAAAAATTCCTTAGACATTTAGAGTGTTACGGCCGAATGTGGCGTGAGCTCCACGGTCGTATTTAGAACTTCAATGCGATTTGTGCGATGTGTAAACCTGACTTTGTCCACAAAATACCAGTGTGCCAAGTCGGCCCGCCACTAATGTTCTTGTGCCCCCGCTCGTCATCAATCGTCTTCGTGGAAAGGGTTGTCTATGGGTCTGGAAGGGGTGGGCACGGTACTGGCGGGCGCGCGTGGGCGGGGGCAAGGCCAGTGGGCCGGGGGAGGCACCCCCGCGCCGCCGCCCCCCGCGCCACCCCCGCCAGAGCCAGGCGCCCTCCAGGCGCCCCACTGCCCCGGCGCGATCGTCTCTGGGGCAAGGACGCGCGCGTCGCCGGCCAGGCTCGGGGCGCAAGGGCGTCGGCGGGCATGACATGGAGGAGAAGGCGAGACAGTGACTCGCCAGAGGACACGCACGCGGTGCCACTCCATGGCCCTACAAGGACTGCAAGGGCGCAGTGGACGTCCCCGAGTCCACGGCCACCAGCCCGCGCGCACGCACGGGCACGTTCCACATACACACCGCGGTCCTGGCCGCGTTTTTAGTAGTATTTTGCGGTCCCTACACCGCTCGCTTGCGCTGTCTGTCCGCCGCCCTGTCAGCTTGCGGGACGGACACATCTCTGACGTGAATTCGTAATTACACTCTTCCTTTCTTCACACAGGGTGCCGCTTGCCGCCGCCGCCTCCTATCCCTTCACCCCTTCCCCTCGACACACTCGCGACGTGTCCGCCTGGCTGCCAGCCGCCGGCCCGGCCCGGCCCGGCCCACCGTCGGCGTACGAAACGAACGTGAAACGTTTCTGCGGCTTGCTCCACGCGGTTTGCCTTTGGGGCGGCCGAGGCTGGGTCCACGCCCCGCAGGCAAGCGCCCCACGGACCGGCCGCCTCGCCTCCTTGCTCAAGTTCACCAGTCGGCTGTGGCCGAGCACAGTGAGCGGAGCGCACACAAGCCCAGCAGTGGGCCGCCGCAAGCCAAAGCGCGCGAGGCGAGGCGAGAGAGGAGAGCGTCGTGTGCTGAGTCGTGTCCCGGCGCGACCCGACTCGTCGTGCGAGCGCGGAGGGAGCGCGCGGAGCCCAGCCCAGTCCGTCGCCGTCGAGCGGCCCATGTGGACGCGCTGCCGCCACCCCTGGCAGAGAGGAGCAGCTCGAGCAGCACGAGAGCGTGGCTGGTAGCGTGCAAGGAGCGCCGCGCCGATCAGCTGAGCGCGTCGGTGTGCGCGCGTGTGTTGGAGCGCGTCCGCCGCGCCGGGCCACCCCACTACCACCACCACCCCTTCTGGCAGGGGTCACCGCCGCCTGCACCGCCGTCAGTGTCAACATCCAAGAAGGGAGGAAGTTCGTGGATTTAGCCCTTCACTTTGAGCGGGCGTCTCTTGACGCAACCCTAGGTGAGTGTGTCGTCGTCCTGGCGCCGTGCCGGGGGCCCGCGGCGGCCCTCGGGGGGCCTGCGGCGCCAGCCGCCCCTGCCCTGCCTCACCCCGACGACTCCCCCTCGCTCCCCCGACTTCCTCTGCACGGCTAATTTTAGCGGATCGATCCTCGAGGACGTTCAGCGGCAGTGTCACAGGGCAAAGGTTGTTTCGATGCGCGCAAGTTTTTGAGGTTAGGTTGCCCCATTGTGCCGGTTCGCATTCTTTCGATTCTTTTTTTTCCTGCTCTTGTGGCCATCGCGCCGGCGGCGGCGCGACGTCCGACCGTTCAACAAACCATGAAACAACCCCGCGCAGCGTTGCCCCTGGTTGCGCGAAGACGACGCGCACTCTTTTATCCCTTTTCCTCGGAACCCATTCGGTTTGCGCTTGGCTTTTGAATGAATATGTCAATGAGTAATTTTCGTTGGCGCTATGAATGTCGCGAAAACCGGAAAGTGTCTAGCGTTATGTGCTATTTTATAGTGCATTATGCTCAAAGTTCGGACCTCACATCGTCTTCGGGTTTCCCCGCCCCACCCCTCTGAGCCCACCCCTACCCCAACCCCCAGACTCTTCGACCCTTACCCCTCTACCTGATACACACACTCTAGTGGCCCTCTAACACACCCACGCGACCCACCCCCTGCGCAACTCGTCACCGCCCCTATCTTATTTGCTCGGGGATTGAGATTAGCCTGGACGTGGGCAAACACTTTCGCAGCAGTTCAATAAAAGAAGCTACCCCCTCTCCCCAACTGCCCCAGCTGCCCCCGCTGCCAGAGCCGGCTAGAGCCAGCCCAGGAGTCGGGCGAAAATTAGAAGTTGGAATTTACAGGGCAAAGCGGCGAAGCTGCACATGGCCTGGCGGAGCTGGCTGCACTTCTTGGGAAACTTGCCTGACAGCTAAGGGTAGGGTGCTGCGCGTTTTGTGGCCGAAATATAGCTCCATTGTGTTGCTCTGCAACTACTAGTACTGACACTGGAGAAATAGAGCTATCTGCAGACCCTCCAAAAGAGCAGGCTGTTGCGGGCTACTCGCTTTTACGCCCACTATGCTTTATGGGCGGAGGGAGGCGGGAGTAGCCCGCAACAGTAACCCGCGACAGTATAACCCGCCCGGAGCACGCTCTTTTGAAGGCAAACATCCAAGCTAGATAACTTCTGGTCTTCTTTAGGTTGGGGAAAGACGCGTGGGTCGCCTACGTTCAGGGTCGACTGACACTACACCCCTGGGTATAATAGCAGCTTTGTCGATCTTCCTCCCTTTCAGCACAGGGCCGTATCCGGCCGGATCTGTCCCTCCAGTGCCGACCTTTCGGGTTCCAACTTCACGTGCCTGCCAGACAGCAGTTTTCCTCGGACGAACCTCGCCCCTCTTCTTAGTTCGCGTGCCGTGCCCGCCGTGCCCCGCGGCCGGACAGGGCATCGCGTCGTCGGCTGCCTCCTCGAGTAGCCTACCTGTTGTCCGACGTGATCTTCCCCGCGGCGAGACAGGCAGGACCGACCGCGGGGGGCTCGAGAGAATCACGTGGCAAGGTGTATACGAGGTGTAGTACACACCACCGAAAGGCGGGGACGTCCGAAAGAATCTATCTCGTCTCGAGGGAGTGGCCGGGGTGCGCGAGCACGGCGCGGGGCACCGCGGACACAGCCCGGTAATAATATACACTGGCCCGTGGCGTGGCGTAGTGGCGTAGGTAATGCCCGCGGTGCCCCCGGACCCCCGGCCGCCGCGAGCCGAGACATTCGCCAGTCCCTTGGGCGCTTGCAGGAACCCTGGCAATTTACACGGTGAGGCGAATAACGAATTTCGGTAACATCGACGTACATTTCGCGACATTTCGCAAACTCATTCCCACGACGAGGGTGATGTCGGTGATTCCAGTTCCGCGTCCTCCCTCGCGGCTTCCGTTCTGGGAAGGGGCGCGCCGCGCGGCGAGGAGAGTGCCCGGGTGAGTCAGGACGAGTCTCTCTGACTCTCGGCTCTGTCTCCGCGCCGAAAGCATGCAGAACTGAAGAACCATTGCCCAACCGGGGCCAATACTCGCGGCATGCGGCGGCCAGGCGAGAGCGAGGCCGCCCGGGGAATCGTGATGATGCACTGGTGATGAGAGCATGTGTCGAATGCCCACGGTCTTCACACGGATCACACGGACGGGATACCCGGACACATCAATTGTCGTGGGCGTGGGAGAGAGTCGCGTGTTTTGTAAAGCTGAAATGGCTTAACGGGCTTTTTTATCGGCGTGGTAAAGGTAAAGACCTACCAATAAAAATGTTACCCCTCTGCCATATGCCCCTAGGCCAGAGCACTAAAATCGCGGATGACGGTCCGTGATAAAAATACCTAATTTTTGTCGAATCACCCCATTTCAAGGCAGGAAACTGGCGTGAGAAAAGTACCACAACGTCCAAATCTTGTCCGATGTCCACGCCCATATCAATGCAGCTGGCGGAGATAAGTACCGCATAGTATCGTCTACTTATCCGTATCGGAGTTTCCCCGTCAATGCAGTCAGTGACCGTGAAAACTGTAACGCGTCGCCTAATTCGTGTCGGTAGGGTCCCCATATCAATGCAGCCAATGACCCAGTGACCACGCGAACCACGCGCGCCCGCAGCACTGGTCGCGGGAACGCACCACTGCGGGAAGCAGCGGCGCATGAGCCTATGGCTTGGCTAGAGACGGAGCTTCGTGCAAAGGGTCAGGGACGAGCGGTGGCCGGTTGGGGGCAGTTCACAAGCGGGGAGTAAAAGGCAAAGCAGACCGTGGTGCAGACCCCGGCTGGTTGTAAAGAGATCATATTTACGGGCTGCCTGGTTTATTTTGCGCTGTTTTTCCTTTTACGATGCCTCGTCGTGGTCGGTGTTTTAAAAGTGCTTCCTGCTTGCAACAGCATACGCGGCATACAAGTTCGAACGGGCGCCGCGGTCGCGATGTCGTTCCATCGTTTCTAAACGGATTGAAAGGGAGGGCTTTACACTTGGACGACATTGGATGGAAAGTGTTATTGAAACGCTCATTGCTACTTATTGGCGCCCCAGTACGTAGTCGGCCAGTCGCGCCATGGCACCCCGTTTTGCCTGCCTATGCTTTTCCGCCGGCCGGCCGCTACGCGCTCAGATAAGCAGCACTGCTGGGCAAGGCGTCGGGGTTGGAGGCTCGCCGCCGACGTACGTAAAACAGGTGCCCGGGACTCGGGACGACTGGCAATCGCGGTGCCCGCTGGTTTCTTCCCTTCACCAGCAGCGGTGGCTGCGCGAGAAAGTTCAACTACTACTCTGCACGTCATATCACTTAGCATCGTCGGCTGAAGGTTCCCGGGGGGTGGTGGT